GAGAGAACAACTACCAAATTCGGCTACAACATATAGACATTTAATGAAAAATAACACTCCTTACTGCCTTAATTCTGAAAGTTAGGATTTATCTTACTATTTGGTTTAGCCCGTAATATGTCTGGCTCTGTTAGTTTTATCAGGCTATATGAGGCTAAGAGAGCTGAGTAAGTACAATTTACCCACAGCACATGCTGATGATAAACTGTATCCTGTGTAGCTTATTCAGACAAATTCTTATGAATTTCAGATCAAATTTTGACCAAATAAGGTGTTTGAAACCCAGCAACAGCTAACCTATAAACCTTATGATGCCATCTTCTCATCCCAGGGATTTTCCAGTAATTAAAAGATGACACACAAAGTTAGTCTGCTGCTGATTTATAAGAACTACTGTGCACTTCACCAGTGGAAAAGGAGCTTCTTGTGAATAGATGGAACAGCTAAAACATCTGCCCTGGCAGCAGTATTTATCAGTGGAGCTCCCAGGTGCTGTAACCCTCCTCTCACCAGGACCCCTCCCTCACAGGCAGGGCTACGCTTTCTTAACTGCAGCCTCACCAAGCAATTAGCACACAAACAATTTTAAGGTAAAGAGTATCACCTTCCTAAATCAAACCAGAAAAAACACCAAAACCCCCAAACCAGACAACTATAAATCAGAGATTGCTACAGATGTACTTAGTGTTGCAAGTAAGGACAGCTCAAGCCGAAGGTCTCTTTTTTGGCATGTTGAACTTAGATGTCCAGCTCAGGCACACCCATTACACTTGCACACACGCATCTCTATTTGTAGCCTACAGATTCAATTAGCAAGATAGCTGACATACATGCCTTAATTGCACTTTAGATCAGATGCGGCCACTCTCTCTCTTTTCTGGCAGCACAGTCAAGAGCTGCACCCACTCCCTGTGATGTTCATTAGCTAAAAGCCCATGTGCCAAACACTGGTACAGTTAGTTTTTAAACAGCTGGGCCCATGGCTAGTGCCCTGCTAATCATCCACATGTCCGCAAGCTTCCATCAGCCAAGGAGCTCCAGGCTGCAAGTTTCCCTGTGACCTGACCACACATAGGCACTCCAACCCCAACAGCACAGGTTTACTGACTCTACCTACTACTTAACATTGCTCATTCCCCAGATAAGCTCCTGTAAGAAAAATTCCATTAACTCCCCCCTCTTCCCCTGTAACCCTTGGTATAAATTCAAAACAGCCTGAAGGAGTGAGAGGCAAAGCATCTTTTAATTACCTGGGAGCAGTCCCTAAAGCAATTTGCCCAAAACTCTCCCACAGCAGCAAGTCAGAGCAGCTGAAGCTTGTCAGGAGTTGTTTAATAAGCCTGGATTGGAATAAGAACAGCAAAGTGCATCATCTCCTTCCATTTCTAAGCCATATTTTGAAAGGGAAGCAAGAGAGCCAGTTTCTGGAGGATAAACACAGAAGAAATTTAGATCAGAGTAATCACTTTAAATGGTGTGATTTTGCTCCATTAGTATCCTTATATATATATATATATCAATGCACATAAACACAGTGCGCCCACAAAAATAACCCTCTTTCACACCTGTATTAGCTGCTCCAGCCGCCTCTAGGCAGCATGATGGGCCCCAGAAACCCAAGCAAAAAGCCACCTTCACACAGTCATTTATTCAGCTCATCATTTGACACCACAAGGTGACAATTCAGTTTCTTCTTATACCACTGTGCAATTCCTCCAAAGGCAGTGCAGCTACACGGCTGAAGGATGTGTTTGTCCCAGTGACTTGGTATTAGTTTGTCCCACATAAATGATGCTGAGGTGTCACACTGTACCCAACATACAGGGGGCTTCTGCAATGTACAGTCTTGTGCTTGCTAAGCCCAGATGTTGCTTTCCCTCAAACCTGAAGTCTCCCCACCCACAGGCACACCTCTGCTTCCCAGAAACAGCTCCAAAGCCACTCAAGGGAACTTGATCCTTTGCTCTGCAGTGAGACAACTGAAAACCATTGCTGTTCCTGAGGAAACAGAACCAACTAATTGTGTGTCACCACACTAAGATGCTGATTTATACTGAATGTAAACACACAAGAATCCCCTTTAAAGCAGGTGAGTTGCCAGAGGTGGGAGAGATGGGTAGGACAGGTTGGATTCCCAAATCACCATCAGGTCTCCTGCTCAACAGGCTCTGGCATCTCCTTTAAGTGTCACATGTGCTGCTGACCTTGCGATATCATGCTCTGTTATGGATGCTAATGATCTTAGTTTTCAGGGTGCCAGAAACTAACCTGACTAAAATCAAATCATAATAATCAAAAGAAACCAAAGAAGGAGAGATCTGGAAAGCAGTGAAATATTTGAATTGGAGCAAGCCTCAAGGAAAGAAAGAAATTAAAGTTATGCATCAAGAAGAAAAGCACTGCATAAAAACAAGTGACCTATTAAAGCAGAGAAAGAAAGTTAAATTGAAAGGTTTTATAGGCAATGCACAATAGATTACACTATATTCCTTTTGTGCATTAAGTGCTCAAATTCTGGTGAATTTTGTTAAGCACCCTTATAACTTTCATTAGGGTGCGACAGAAAAGTCATACGCACCCCACATGCAGGTGTACCCGTAGGGAGGACACGCTCCACTGTGCAAGCATCACCCCAAAAATAATTAAAAAATAATATTATAATACACAGCCCACTCCCACCTGAAGTCATCTTTGCCAACACCAGTCCACTATTTCTGAAGCAAAGGAGTTAAAGGAAGAGCAACCACAGAGCAGCTCCAGTAATTTACTCTAAGAAGTTGATCAGGACTGACAAGCAATCATGAAATAAGGCTTATGTTCTGGTCACACACTGAGTTCTAACAATGTCAGATACATCCCTCAGTTAAAACTGATGGAAATACATGCACTGTTGTCTTGCAGAGGAGTTTACAGGTAGAGTATTGGTTAAAAACATTGACTAAGCAGATACTGTTCTCTTAAAAAACAAACAAAAAAACCCACCACAAAAACACACACACGGTTTACCCATAATTTTATTGAATAAAGATTCAAATAAAAACATACATGAGTTTGATGTGTTTAATGGTTTCAGCAGAGAGGAGTTTCGGATTGAGCACACAGTAATGCTCCTAAAAACATGATGTGAATATAGAATTGAAATATAATCCACTGAATTAGTTTGTAATGGTCTCCAAGCATTTTGTCCTTCAAATGTTAGTTTTGGCCATTAAATGATGTTACAGTGCTCACATGGAGTGCTTGGCTGTGGCAGGCTCTTGTTTGACCAGGGTCCATGGAGCCCTTCAGATGGGAAGTACCAATGATCTTCTTGCTCATTATCCAGGAACAGGCTGAACAGTATAATGGAAGGATTCAGAGACTTTAGGAAGAGGTAAGTTTTAGAAAAATAAAATAAGCAAGCATCAAAAATTTCTGTTCTTAATACCATGTTTAAGTTGGCATTCCTATGGCAAATGTTGATGTAATTGATAACATCTACATTTTAGGTAGTCTCATTTAAATGTAATTTTCACATAAAAGCATCGTGGTGCTCCAAAGTGTAGTACCATGCAGAAACATCCATGTGATATTTATTTAAACTGGCAGTGCTTTGCTGTTGTCTCTCATGTTCTGGTAAGTTCTTCTGTTACTAAAGTCCTAATTCATTTAGCATTGATGCTAAGAAGAGATCCCTCTCAACAGCACAGCCTCAGGTCTAATAATTCCCAGCAGGAAAAGTTAATTGAACAGCTTTCAGGCCAAGACAACATTTGATTTACCTTTTTTAAAACCCATCATCATCAGCAGGTGTTTTGGTCACTTTCTGGGAACAAGTAAAGGGAAAAGTGATTCCATTTCAGAAAGACACATTATCTCTGATGAAGAACAATTTGTAAAATGGCAAGCTTTCTGCTAGAGCAGAAAATAAGGAAAAGTGTGATAATAAAAGCCTGGTAACCTGCAGGCTGTTCAAGTAGACCCAACATTATTGGCCAAAGGAAGTAGGCTCAATAAACTGAAAGAGTGGGGAAAAAAAAAAAATAATCTGCTTCCATATGAGAGAAAATGCAAACTCACTACACTGAAAAGCACACAGATCTTCTTAATCTCTAACATTTTTTATTCCTGCTATATCCTTTATTTAACCCCAATTCAGAGCTGACAGTGTTAGTTCCACTTCCATGGCACCCATATAAACAATGCCCATGCAGTGAAGTAGAAGCAAAATAATACATTCAGAGGTGATAACCTGAGAGGTTTTGAAGAGCAATTAACTCAGTTCAGGGATGCACTAGCCAATACATTTGTGTATGTTAGCATATTATGATTTTCTTTCTACATGTTTTTTGGAAGATCACATGATGTTGATTATTACTCCTAATGTAGAGCAAATAACCCTGATCATTAAGCTGAGAAAGTTCATTTGCAGCAAAATAAGAAACATTATATATAAAGTAGTTGAAACTGTTTCATCACGGATATTAAAAATATGCAAACTGGAAAGGGGAATTACCTGAGGATCAGTGATTTACTTTTCCCCACACACACTTCTTGCCCATTCTTGGTTTACAGACTTGGATCACTTAGATCCAAATGTCCCTTAAAAAATTGCATTATTTCTGGTGGCAAGAGTGAATAACCAAGATAAGTAGCCTTTGCAATGAGAATTTTAGCTACATACTAAATAACAAAGTAAAAAAGGTGCTTTGGGGATCCAGTACAACATACACCATATAGATAGGCTCTTCCTCTCTTTGCAAAGAGCCATCACAGATGAATATAGGATCACCCAATCAATCGCCACAGCTCCACATGTCAAATGAGGCACATTCTCAGGACAGAGGAGCTCCATTACTGCAGGACCAATGCTTCAAAACTAACTCTTATCAAGCTCAGATCCCTGTAGCATCATGATGCTTCAGCCATGACCCAGAACACACACACCCACCAATCCACCTCCATACTGAGTTTTTCCGAGTACCAGATGGCTTAAGTATTTAGACTACTCGGATCTCTCCCCTCATACTCAAAAAGAAAAATGTACAACTTATTCTTGGTATCTATTTTTCATCTGTAAGTATCTTCTGTTTTGTCATAAAATAAATTCCACATTAGACTCGGACACTTCAGAGCTTTGCATCTTCTGGGGAATGTATGAGATTAGATGCTTTTCCTGGGGAAAACAAAAAACTGCTTCAGAATTGAATTAACTTGTGAAACTTACTGTAATTAGAGATGATCAAACATAAAACTGACAAGACTCAACCAAATGCATACTGTCATATGACCAAGGAAAGTCTTCTCAAAGTGCCTGAAGCATGTAATGCATCATCCTGTAATCATCATAATGTACACGTATATGGTGCCAAAGCAGATTTACAAAAATAAGATTATTCCTGGTATTTTCCAGAGAAATTTCTGTGTCACCCCACACAACCCAAGCCCATAATGCCCAAGTGCTCCATGGCCAGGTTCACTTCCACCCAAGTCTTGCTGCTTTCAACAGGGACTTCAGAACATAGATACTCCTGCAACATGTTTTTATGTCAACTGACCAAACTCTAATAAAACCCCGTTTCAGCCAGAATTGTTATGACTGCCTCTGATCTGATATCTAACCAGGATGTTCTTGTCCATGCTTCCTTTCTCCATTGATTCAGTTTTGATTTTATGCTCACAGTAAGTGCCAAATGGATTCCTGAGACAATGTGAGAGTGCTTCCTAGTCCTGGAACAGAAACATGCAGAGGGAATCAAAGAATGCAGCTTTCCAAGTTTTTAAAAGAGAAAGCTGCATTTGGTACACAGTTTGTTTCCATGGTCCATTTATCCTTGGGCCTTTCCAAGTACAAAAGTCCCAGCAGACACAGTGAAGGATAGTTCAACTAACACTAGTTCACAGCTTCTGACATTACACAAAACTTGGGTTGTTACAAGGGAGCACAGGAGTAAAAAGCAGCAGTTTCTCTCGTTAAGTAACATCTTCCTTACAGATGTTAATATCCAGGACTTCAGGGGAATCCTAAAAAAGTCACAAAAAGTTATGCAAATTTGAAACATCATCAGGTTTTGCCTAAAGTTGTTGATCCACAAATTCTGATCAAAGCCAACCAACATCAGGTAGAGCCTGTGCATTAGGATTAGTTTACAAAAGGATCAATTCACTCCAGCATTTATGTTCTGTCCTAGAAGTTTCCGTAACTTTATCTTCCTCGCCCACATCAGATGGTCATTAGATGTTTCCCCATGTTCCTTAAATGAACACCAAGGTACCCTGGGAGGACACATCCAAGGGCTGCACTGCTGCTGAGCAGACAGCAGGAGCATTGGGCAAAGGAGACTAACCAGTAGAGATGCAATTGATTATAAGATTCATTTGGCTGTAAAGATACAGGGCACCCACAGCTTCCTTCTGCGCCATTTTGCTGCCCAAAGGCAGAGAATGAATTCAGACTCCCTGCACAAACATATCCATCTGCAGTTTGCCCGCTTTACTGCTTTCCCTCTCCCGTGTTGAGCAGAGAGTTTAGAAGAGAAAACAAAGCTTCTGGGAGTATTCTTATAATTTAGGCTTTTCTAGAAACCTGGTATCAGTTACATCTGCTCACTGAAATATAAAAATAAAAGATGCCTGTTACCCACATAGACTAAGTAGGTAGATTAAGCACTATGTCCCCTCAGTCATGGAAAATTGACAATGCTAAGGCTCAAAGCATCCATCTCAAATTACTCTGAATCATTTTTCCTTCTGGGAAAGAAGGAAGAAAAGGCAGCAACAAAAGTAACTATGCAATTATTTTCCATTTCTTTTTTATCATTTCACCCTTGCCACCTGCTATACAATATTTTATGCTCCATTTCTTCCAGTTAGGCTATTTTAGGAGGAACAAAAGCAACTTATTTTGTTCAGGTATGACAGGTATTTGTGTTTCATTCTACAGTGATGGACACCTATGAAATCTGAAGAATAAGAACACTAGTCTAGCATAGGGGACATCAGCCCTATAGGCAGAAGAAGCTTTAAGGGAGCTATAACCATTCTCACCCCATTTCACTCCAAGAACAAGGATCACCATTATGATTTCAGGTAAACAGTATGAAGACTGAAACTATGTGAACCAACACAGAGGAGCATGCATTGATCTGTAGCTATTCCAAAACAATGTCTTTCAAAGATGTTACCAGACCATGATGGTCCTCTGACCCAGGATCAGCTGCAGCTGAGGACTCATTTTCCCTTTTTGGTGGAAGAAAGGCTGACAGTTGCAAGACTTTCTCCTGCTATTACGTTGAGCAAAGCTGAAGGGCAGCATTGACTTCCCTTCATTTCCAGCCCAAGTGATGAATCTGATGCCTGAAGCCCAATTTTCTTCTTTTTTGGACTCCTACCAAAACAAACCCCAGAAATACTGTCACTTGCTTTATAACCTCAGAAGAATTATTACAGCAGCTGCTAACTATTCTGGGACACTGATACGGTTCCTCAAAACTACACATTCATCTTTCCAAGAGAAACCTAATGATTTTTTTTAATCTAAGCAAATCTCAGATTCATAAAGCTTTTTATTTAACAACAGATCTGTAAAATGATAAGCACTCCCTTCATCACACTTCATGTTTCCAAAAATGGAGGCTGTAGAGGCACCCTACCTCTAGGATGGCACTATTAGACAAGTCCACTCCTGCTCATAAGGCTAATGCAGATGTCCCCCAGAACAGTCCACACCACAAATGTGATGCAGAAGAAGGGAGTCTCAGCCTTGACATGACGTTTTACAGAGAAGCAGATGAACTCATTTGAAGTACTGTGTACAGTTCTGGTGTCCTCAACATAAAAAGGACATGCAACTGTTGGAACAAGTCCAGAGGAGGGCCACGAGGATGATCAGGGGACTGGAGCACCTCCCAGAGGAAGACAGGCTGAGAAAGTTGGGGCTGTTCAGCCTGGAGAAGAGAAGGCTGCGTGGAGACCTCATAGCAGCCTTCCAGTATCTGAAGGGGGCCTATAGGGAAGCTGGGGAGGGACTCTTCATTAGGGACGGTAGTGACAGGACAAGGGGTAATGGGTTCAAACTTAAACAGGGGAAGTTCAGATCGAATATAAGGAGGAAATTCTTAACTGTGAGGGTGATGAGGCACTGGAATGGGTTGCCCAGGGAAGTTGTGAATGCTCCATCCCTGGCAGTGTTCAAAGTCAGATTGGACAGAGCCTTGGGTGACATGGTTTAGTGTAAGGTGTCCCTGCCCACAGCAGGTGGATTGGAACTAGATGATCTTAAGGTTCTTTCCACCCCTAACTATTCTATGATTCTGTAACTGACAATTACTTTGCAGTCATTTAATAAAATCCTTGAAAGTGGATAGATTTTATCTTCACATAGTTTGTGTTGTCAGGGACCACACTGTTGTAAATGTTTGTACATATTTCTCTAGAGACAGCAGTATTCCAAGTAACAAAAGACCATTTTACTGGCTAATTTCTGTTGTTGTGATGTTCACTCAATATTCTCCAATCCCTAACTCTTCCAGGATGCAGCAGTTAACATAGCAACAAAAGAGTTAGGTGAACAAGACAAGCCATCTCTAACGCTTTTTTATTGACACTTCTAATGCTTAAACTAATCACCCCTCCCTTCTGCTTGCACCAAGAAAGACTGTACAGGAAGCACCAGACTTTGACTATTTTTGTTATTACTGCCTAGATTACCATCTTCACACAGCAGTTAATACTAACTACTCCCCTGGGTTTTCCTAGGAAGGTGCTGGGTAACCCTGCAGAATGTCAGTCTTACCTTTATGGCACTCCAACAGCAGGTTCCAAGACTAGTCTCCCTGGTTAACCAGAGGGAGAAATGTTCACACCAACCCTGGCACTCATAAGGTTGAAAACAAAGTCCGCTGATTTGCAGAGGACCTGGAAGAAAGGGATCTTCAAAAACCTTCATTTTTGGAGATCAAACTCAAAACAAAAAGACTTTAGGAAAAAGAACTTACCCCTCAAAAAAAATCCCTGTAAATTCACTTAGGCTATAGGTAAGGGTATGAGTTACACTGAGCATACAAACTGAGTCTAACTAAAAATTTTACATTCATGCCCTAAAGCAATTAGCTCACAGCAGGTGAGAGCTAACGCTTGATCAAAGTAGCAAAGGCGTAGCCTACATCCCAAAGTGATAAAGAAATGAGAACTTGAGATACATCAAATAGGATGAAATATATATGTTATACCGGATTTGACATACCCTATTCTTACTGAAGAGAAACTCTCCCCAGGAACTGGTATTTTCTGTGATGTACTTAATTTCACCTTCTGTTTGGAATCAAGCAACAGCGTCTAATATTTTGGACTAAATGAAATGTTATTGTGCAAAACCTCTGTGGCCAATTTTTCTTTAAACTTTTGCTTATAAAGGTGGATCTTTTATTTTGCACAACTCCATTTTTGCTGTCTTCTGTGATCTAAACTTAGCTAAACAAAACCTTTTACACATTCCTTTTGCTTTTCTTCGGACTGTTACAAACATTTAAAGGTCACTTATAGCTGTGTTTTAGAAATAACACCACTTTCCAGCTTTCTGGCCCCTTTGTCATTTGCCTGACATTTCTCAGATGGATTTGTCTTTTGTGCCCTCTGCTCATTTTCTTTGCCATGTTGCCTCCTTTGGTGAAGCAACCTGTGTGTTAAAGCCAAAGCACTTCCCCAGGGGTGATCACAGTGATCCTTGCGGGCACTGAAGGAGCAGCTTTGGAGTGCCAGTTTTGCTGAGCCACAAGCCAGTAGAGTACCAAAGAAACTACAAAACCCTCTCTGAAGGCTACTGAAATACCTTGGGTAGCACACCAGTTGTCCTGGGTTCAGCAGTAGCAGTCATTTTTCTCCTTCTTAGTACCTGGTGCAGTGCTGTGTTTTTGACTTTCAGCCGGGGAACAGTGCTGATAGCACCAATGATTTTAGTTACTGCTCAAATGTTTACTCTGACCAAGGACTTTCTGAGTCTCATGCTCTGCCAGGGAGGAGGGGAAGTCAGGAGGAAGCAGAGACAGGACACCTGACCCAAACTGACCAAAGAGGTATTCCATACCACAGCACGTCATGCCCACTGGGTAAACTGGGGGCAGTTACCCGGCAGGGTTAGATCACTGCTTGGGTTAGGCTGCGTATCAGTTGGCGGGTGGTAAGAGGTATTCTCTTCCCTTGTTATTTCCCTTATAATTATTATTGGTGGTAGCAGTATGGGTTTGTATTATACCTTAATTACTGGACTGTTCTTATCTCGACCCTTGGGAGTTACATTCTTGCGATTCTCCTCCCCATCCCTCCAGGAGCAGGGGGGGAGGAAGAGGGGGAGTGAGAGAGAGGCTGCATGGTTCTGATTTATGGCTGGGCTTAAACCACAACACCAGTGAAGCTAGAAATATGCAATAAACCATCAACAGGGCCAGCAGAAAACATCAGTGCAAACAGTTACTGAGCTTGGAGTGGGGACTTGCAAAACCATACTGCAGCTCACCAGCCCCACTAGTGCCTCTGCCATGCCAGTATTTTCCAGCAGGCTCCATGCCAGCCTTTAGTCTTAGCACACACACAGACACATGGCAGGCAATCCATCTTCTGGCATCCTCTCAGCTTCCCTAGCAAGATACCCATTTTTGATTTTTGCCACAAGTGGGACACTTGATCTCTATGGGTTGACAGGAATATTCCTGATGCCTCAGGTATAATTTATAAGCAGCCCTGTTCTAAAGATAAACCTAGTCTTTGAGCAAGAATTACTTTTGACACTTTTTTTAAGGTACTTAGAAGATTCTATTTTCATTCTTCCATAGAAGGAAATAATGATTTTCAAAATCTAGGTGGTCACTGTGAAACCACTCCACTGTCCTTCAGTTAAAGGCACATTTTACCATTGCCTGTGGGCACAAACCACTTACAGACCCTTTAACACACACCTAACAGCTCCTGCCACCTTTCTGACTATTCATTCTTTCTCTTATATTTATTGGTTCTGAAATATGGTTGCTTTGTGATAGAGGCATAGCAAGGATACATACCGAGAGTTCATTTTTGTGGGAGATGAAGGAAAATAACAGGGAATTGGCTTCTGTGCAGTAGGAACTAGGCTGCAAGAATGCAGAAAAATAATTCAATAAATAAAACTGAAAATTTCCATCACTGCCTTGATACACAACTGACCAAATTGCTTAGTCTCACTCTCCCCCAGTTTTCCCTAGGTCAAAAAGGGAATAGCCATCTATCTGACCATGGTTAGCACACCCTAAGACAGTATTTAACTTAGTGGCCCAAATGATAACAATACCAACTTTTCCTTGGATAAAATGTGAGAAAGTAAATAGAAGTTATTGATTTGGATGGAGCAGAACACAACAGCAATTAACCATTCATCCCCCCAGTGACCTACCCAGAAGAAACACTTCATTTTTCTTTGCCTAGCTAGGAGCACTGTAAAGATCAGCTGTGCTGTTTGGCACTGCCGTGTAACTTTCATCCTTCCAGTCAGTGCCATTATCCCAGTCAATACCACCACCATGGGACTTCTGGGATAATCACCTTAGAAAGCATCCCAAGATGCATGACACGCTGTCTGCAAGAGTCCTGCATGACCTGCAGAAGGCAGGCAGACGCCCACCACCACTGGCCATCAAAGTTTTATGACAAGAGCAGGACATCAGGCAGTTCTACATCCATCAGCTCATCAGCTACAGACCTGAAATCACAGATTTATTCTGGGGAGTGGGGAAGACAGTTCAAGAGCTCTCTGCCTTCTCTGCCTTTTAAGATTCTTTCAGGTTTTAAAAAATTTCCACTGAGACCATCACAGCATCTTCTCTTAGGCTTATTTTTAAACAGCTCTGACAGTGCACGCTAACTTGACACTTGTGTTTCTCAACAGAAAAGAAGTGTCACAAATTGATGTAAATACAGTTTTTTAAATTGGAAGCTAATACAGATTCCACATCTCCAGCTATTCAGTTACCCAGTGATGAGCAGTTAGCTCACCACAGCCAACCTGCTACTTCTCTGCAGCTTCCCTAACAAGAAGTAAAAGGGAAAAGAAGTCTGGTCTCACCTTGTAAACTCAAAGTAGAGATATTTAGCACAACCAAGTGACATTTGGGGTGGTTTGCCACAGCAGGCTGTAGTCAAGAACAACAGCTGGATATTAAAAAGACGCAAGATAATTTTACAGACAATAATGAAGCATATATTCATGCATGCTAAATTGCAATTAAATAGAAGAAAGTCACATCTCATTTCCGTGCGATAACTTACCATCGTAAAGATAAAGAATGAAATTTTATTCCTAATTCACTGGTTAAGTAGTCATTGCTGGAAACGGGTACCCACATACAACTGACAGATCAT